AGAAAGAAAGAAAGAAAGAAAGAAAGAAAGAAAGAAAGAAAGAAAGAAAGAAAGAAAGAAAGAAAGAAAGAAAGAAAGAAGCTGTGTGCCTGTTCGTGTGTGTGTGTGTGTGTGTGTGTGTGTGTGTGAGGATTGTTTTCACAGACTGATCTTAAAAACTACAAATTACCTCTAAAAAAATCTAAATTAGTTTTTTTTAAATCCATGATTATTTTTTTATCTTGATTTAATTTTGTTTACGTTCAGATTAAATAAAACAGGGTTTGTTGTATTAAAGCAATAGCCTGGACTAATTATTAGTGTTAATTAAGTCCAACATACAACTATATTTCTTTTTATTAAGTAAAGAAGTTTTATAAAGTCACTGTTTTTAACAAAATGAGTTGTTTTGTTTCTTTAGACTCACAAATCTTTTGAATCCGTTGCCATGGCTTCTTTTGGTGCACAAATAATTATCACTTTTTACAGGTTTTGTGAATATAAGTCAAATAAATCCAACAGTGCACCTGAGAAAATTGATATATATTTTTAATCGAGTACATTTTAGTTCTTACAAATGCTAAGTGAATAAAATTTTAATTTAAAAGGTTACTTCTGAAAACATAAGCCACATGTATGTATATATGTTTGCCATCATGAAGACCAGTAAAAACACTTCCTATAGTGTAAGAAACCAAATATTAATGTTATTTGTAATTAAAATGYCAGTAAAGTTTGTGTTTGTTCAGTGAAACAACCAAAGCTCCAGCCCTTTAGGTTGAAGATGTCAGACGTTTTCGCAGTATTGTTGTTGATTTTTGCTCAGCTTTGATGAGAAAACTGTGCAGATAAATGTGTTCTGTTTACACTGAGTGCGTACCTGCGTTTCAGAATTGCAAATCTCTGTTTTTCTTTTGGCTGCGTCCTAGCAGGAGTCGCCACGGCGTGCAAACTTCAGGAGAGATTTGGCCGCGATGCCCTTTCTGACCCCAGCTCAGACTCAAGGAYTATAAAGACCCCAGCTCTGACCACCGAGCCGCCGTTATTCAGCGCTGCATATCTGGAAAACTCCTGGAGGAGTTTGTCATTTAGCAACAATTCATTGCAGTGAATACCTTTGAATGTGCACATATTTAAAAAGTAATTATAGTATTTATTTACACTTGTGTTTTTAGGTTTATTCTAGAAAAGCTGCAAGCTTTWTTTATGTCCTCTAAATTTTCTTTTTTCTTTTTAGGAATTTCAGGTTGTGTTCAGGGCAGCTTCTTTTTTCTTTTTGAGCTTCTTTAGTAAAAGAAAATGTTGTTTTCCTGCATCCACCACGTTCACGTTAATCCCTGTTTAGTTTAGTCACAGAGGGCCGAGCGAGGAAAAAGGAAAATACAAACAGTCCCAACACGGCGGGGTGAAAGGTGAAGGGAGCCCTCCCCCCCACTACCACTGTCCTCACATACTTCAGGCTCGGATTGCAAAGTAAAATCCCATTCTCTGGGTGGTAGCAGGGGCCGGAGAGAAACTCATTGTTTTGGCATGGGGCAGTGGCTTTGTCTCGTAAAAAAAAAAAAAGTCTTTGCTCTTACAAGTGGCAGCGCCTCTCGGACCACGTGTGTGTCCATAAAACTCAATGTAGAAACAAATGACCTGCAGGAGGAGACTTCAGCTTGATGAGTGCTTTTAATGAACTGGAGGGTTTGGAAAAGAGTCTGAATATATTCTGACAGAAAACTGTTACGTGAAATTTAACCAGATTTTCTGAACCGTGAGGAGACTCTTATGGTTTGTTGTTTATGCAAAACCCAAATTAGTGGCTTTAAATGTGGAAAAGGACAACAAATGCATGAGAAATGTGCCCATTGTGTGTGTGTGTGTGTGTGTGTGTGTGTGTGTGTGTGTGTGTGTGTGTGTGTGTG